GTCAGCCCAGTATCATTTTGATAGCTGACTGACAGGCAGGTTCAACAGTACACCTGGTGCTTCTCAGCAAATTCTATCTTGGTTTACTGTTTATCTTTGTAATAAAATTCGTACCTGGCATTAGGAAATATTGGTAGTCTCCCATTTAATTTGAATAGGTACCTTTGTATGGAAATGCAATAATTAAATGGAGTATAACAATAGGTTATGGATGTATTAAGCAAAAGAAGGCCTTTCCAACGTCTTAAGAAGCACCGTTGGAAATTTCCATTAACTTGTAGTTTGTTTATTCAGCGAAGCGCGTGCAAGCGTTGACACAATGCACATGCGTGCGCAGTTGCTATAATTCGTCTGATCGGTGCGCGACATTGCGTAGCTGCAATCCGCTCAGTGAGAACTGTTTCGGATGCTGAATTCAGGCCCGATTCAAAACATGATTTACATGTAGCAACTTTTGATTCAAAATCGAGATCGTAGAATGTTGTTTTTCTTGAAATATACAGCTGAAGCTGAGCTGAAACTTCATCAGGTCAGTTGTTCAGCACCCTTCTTTAGATTTTGAGCACTTTTGTTGCTTCAAATGAACAGAATGCGCAAATTACAAATGATGGACTATATCTTTAACCATGTGCAAATTAATTCATGCGATGTACATGTACATGTAGGCTGCTGATACTGTGAGTCAATCACTCATTACCAAAGAAAAACATGTTGAGTTTGCCCACGGACCATTGTGGTCCATGGTTTGCCTAATACAGTATTTTTCACAACAGGTGAGTGCTCCAAACGAAATGAAAAGCACAGGCAATAGTTCCATATCGCCATACACTCAACCAGAAAAGAAATCCCCCAATACTTTTTGTCTCACTCTAAAACTACTGCGCATCTTTTGCTCAAATAATGACAAGTACAGAAATTCCTTAGCAATCCAGCCATACTCTTTATTTGGTACAAAATATAGTGATAATGTGTACAAAATTATGCAATTTTGTATACGAGCAAGTTGAGTGTGAACATTTCGTCTCTAATGCAATCTTCCAACAATAAATTTCATAAAAATAATGTCCAGTTTTGTTGGTTATATTTTTACCCTTTCCTTTACTGAACCTCAAAGAACATGCAAAGTATGCAGTAAAGAAAATGGTGAATTTTTTTTAAGAAATCAATTTTAAGAATTTTTTGTTGGAAGAGATGAAAGAGCGTTAGAAACAAAATGTTCACACTCAACTTGCAGGTGTACAAAAGTACAAATTTGTTCGGTATCATTTGTCATAAGTTGTATAAATGTGTACACATTATCACTGTTTTGGAGCCAAATTAAGAGTATGGCTGGATTGCTAAGGACTTTCTGTACTGATTAGTCGTTATTTGAGCGAGAGGTGCCTAGTAGTTCTTGAGTTAAAGACAAACAAGTATGGGGGGGGGGGGACTTTCTTTTTTGGTTGAGTGTGTACAAGTTTTACCTGCAGGGTGTGGCACATGTACGTGTATATTATCCATAAGACATACATGTACATAGCGGGGCACCGCGCCAAATATGGGATTGTTTGTGGCAGCTTTTTCATTGGGGATTGTTGATAGAATTTGCATCAAGGTCTGTGAGAGTCAATGGTGGATGACCTGAGAATACAAACCCAATAAATTAAATGGGGTAGTGACGTTGGATCGAGGAATGCTGAACTTGAATAGATTCTAAGCTCTCTGGCTCGCTGTAGGTAAACTATTGGTGAATGTACCATTGTACAATCAACAATGAAGTCTGGGTACAATTTATTTCTCATAAACCGATTTTACGCACTCTATGGCTATTAAATACAAGTGTGTGTTTTTTTGGCTGTTGTCGAGTAACATGTACAGGCTAGGCCACCATGAGTCGAGGCCAAGCAGAATGAGTCCAATTTGAGTCTGGTCTTTTTCCAGAAATCCAGCTACATTGTATTCTAGTCAAACATGTCAAAGTTAAATGATTGATTCTAAATTTAAGCTATTTAAATCCAAGTCTACATGTACATGTAGGAATGAAATCTTATTCAGACCACATCATGAACTATGAGCAGTGTTCAAGGGACAACATACAGAGAACAGTTCATGTAATTATGACATCCTGCTGCATAGTTTCTTGATAATCTGCAGTGAAATCGTATGATGATGGTTCTATATAAATTTACTTTAAGTTTATTTGAGATGCCTACTGAGCTCGTCACAATTATGTTAAAAAGTGAAGTTAAATTAGAACCATTGTTGAGTATACTGCGATGTGGGAATATTTTATCCTAATGGATTTTCTACTTGTAAGTTATAGTTTAATAAAAAAAAGTACATGTGTTTTCTAATTTAACTGTGTGCAAATTATAAAAGGCGATGTACATGTAGGCTGCTAATGCTGTGAGCCAATTTACTAAAGAAAAGCATGTTGAGTGTGCCCACGGACCATTGTGGTCCATGGTTTGCCTAATACAGTATTTTTCACTGAGGTGAGTTCTCCAAATGAAATGAAAAGCACCTGCAATGCATGTAGTTCCACATCGCCATTGTATCTTTTACCTGCAGGGTGTGGTATTTATTATCCATAAGGCATAAGTAGCGGGGCAGCACCAAATATGGGATTGTTTGTGGCAGCTTTTTCATTGGCTATTGTTGACAGAATTTGCATCAAGGTCTGTGAGAGTCAATGGTGGATGACCTGAGAATACAAACCCAATAAACGGGGCAGTGACGTTGGAACGAGGAATGCTGAACTTGAATAGATTCTAAGCTCTCTGGCTCGCTGTAGGTAAACTATTGGGGAATACCCCCGGTACCATTGTACTATCAACAATATAGTCTGGGTATTCAATTTATTTCTCATAAACCAATTGTACATGCTCTATCACTAATATACAGGTAGAGTGGGTGTTTTGGCTGTTATGGGTTGAGTAACATGTATACAGGCCAAGGTACTTTTTTGGAGGAGTGGTAATTTCTCTTCGACACAATAAACAAGTTTTGTCTTCACAGATACCAGTAAGGGCTAACATGCATGTCAGGACCCTTAAGAACAGTTCAAATTACTGAAAAGGCTATCCTGCTGAAGTGAAAGCAGTATACTTCAAAAGATGTTACTCTATTCTGTAATTAGGACTTGTTTGATAAAAAAAAAAGGTTTTACGCAAAACGGGATGTTTGACAACTTTCAAATTGTAGTTTGTGTTGCATGTTGCCCCGTTGCTCAAAAGGCAGTGAAGCAGTTCCAATTTTCGTGGTAAATACCGACCCACAGGGATCTGACAATTGCCCAGTTCTACTTTAATATCTCTCTGAGCATGACGTCAGTTTCACTATAGATAGAGGCTGGGCGGAAGAGGATCTTTCATTTGATAGTAACAGTGGATCCGTTCTTGTCGATTCTGAACTGTACATTTTCAGTATTGCAATAGATTTCAGGCATGCAACTTTTTTTCAGAGCAGCTGATTTCCTCCTTTTTTTCTCATTTCATTATGCCTCTCAAAATTCGAAAACAAATGTTGGAATTTCCTTTTGCGTGTGGTGAATTTACAGTTGCATGCCTGAGATTAAGTTTGTGGAAGAGATAAAAGCATGATTTATAAGGCGAGCCACAGTACATGTGCATGTGTGAACTGTACTGACAACTCAATGAAAATCCCTTTTATCATCTCGGTGAGTAGAATAAATTCCACCCATTCCTGTGACGTTTAAAACCGGCTGGGAAGACAAGTTTTAAACGGAGTGCACATTTTCTTTGTTTTGATCATAATTGAACCACAGCTGGCCCTGCGTTGATGATTATGAATGTAAGCAATGCCATTTGTGACTGTTGGCAAGGGATGGATGGCCTTTTTTCTTCCTTGGCCCCCACTTACACATTTTGTGTGTGAACACAATGGAGACATCGTACTGTGGAATTCTCTCAATCCATCTCTTAAAAAGGTGTCAAATGTATCATTGTTCAAACGCAAATGTAAAACCCAATTAATTAACAAATATGTGGTAGAATAATCTCATTTTGTAAGACCAAATAATTTTAGTTTTATTTCGTATTACTAGCTCTGTACCAATAGTTTTTGTTATTTAACTCCTATCGTTGTACTTGTACTTGTAATTAATTGTAACTGTCATCGTAATTGTGATTGTAATTGTTCTTTCGACAAGCTGATGCTTTTTGGAGACCTCCATCCATCCATACACAATAACTCAAGTGTTAAGTTATATGTTCATGTGTGTGTTGGGAAAAATTAAAGATTTGATTGATTTGATTGATTGAGTCTGCCATGCAATTTTATACGGAGATGACATCGTATGCTAACATATAGTGGAGTCAAGGCTTAGCAAGTTAATTGGCATGAACAGACGTGGGATACTTTAAGAAAGGTTTCTCTTTGCGGCAATAAATCTTATCAACAGGGATGTTCTGGGCCCTGTTGGAATGAAAACAAAAATGGGGTACTCTGTGTACTATAATAATATGCATATACCGGTACATGTGTACATGCCATAATAATTGATCAAGCCAGCAATTACTATTGTAGGCCCTAATTATTTTACTAATATGAAAGTGAGTTCAGACTCTGCCAAGGATGCTAAGAAGTAGTTTCCTGCATCAAGTCTGTTCACCATTTTCTTGTGACCCTACTTGTATTTCCTTTTGTAGACACCAGTGGGGTATATGGGGGGGGGGGGAGGGGGGGGGGGGCTAAATCCTACAACACTTGAGGGTGGGGAGGCGGGTGTGCATGTGGTTGTCCAAAGTTTGATGTGTTGCCATGGTTAATTCCCTTCCAGACAGTTTCTTGTGTTAAATGTACCATCAGCAAATAATGAGTATGGACATTCAGACTCTGATACGGAGCATGGGGGTTAACTAGGAAGGGGAAATATGGGCAGGGATGCCCTTCCCTCAACACTGCTGTTTTAGAGGTATTTAGCACAATGCAGGTTGTAAAAATAGGGTTTAAGTTCCTTCCTACACAAAGTTAACTGTTATGTCTTGATATCCAAACAGTAATGGACGTGTGAACTCCTTCACTGCCACAGTCGGCTACAGAGTAACGCCTTTCATGGGTTAAAGGTGAGTGAATTAATAGACCTGCATGTATTAGACATCATGACGTCACGCTTTGTTTACATGTGTGCTTTCCTATGGGAGCTTGGTGGCTCTCGTGCCCACCTGGCTCCCATAGGAAAGCACACATGTAAATAAAGCATGACGTCAATAGGTCTATTAATGACTGCAATATTTTCCTTTCTGCTGATATTAGGAATGTACATCTTTGTTTAAACCTTTTTGACTGAATGATGTGATTCATAACATAAACTGGGTTTCCAGTTTCAAGTTTTAAGATGCTCAAAGTGAAAACTACTTGGACTTCTATTATTAAGATGGCGTAAAGTTTTGCTAGTCACGTACATGTACATGTACATGTGGCGAGAATTGTTTTCATGGGTGGGGCGTTAACAAAATGCTGGCCATTTGCAGAGAGCACAATCTGCACGTTGATCATTATCCCCGGCTGTAGCCCCGTCCCTTCTTTCCCCTCCCTCATCCCAGCCCTATTTTGTAGGGGGGGGGGATGTTTGAACCCCCGTCCCCCTGATGCTATACTACTAAAAGTGCCAGCTTAAACCAACTGACCGATTGACCGAACAACCGTACTTACCAGCGCTACTTGTGGCGTACTGCACACAAAGGGAACAAAGATGCCAACTCGTTACCCACAATTTTTCCTTTGAAAAACTGTACCACAGAAGTGAATTCTAAAGAAAAGGGATAAAAGGCCAACAATGCAAGTACCCCAGGATTGCCATCTGCTGGGATAAACAACTGACTAACCGACCGACCAACTGACCAACTTGACCATCACTGACCATCACTTGACCAACCGACCAAATAACCTACTGACAGACTGACTGACCGACCGACCAACTGACTGGCCGACTGACGGACCAACCGACAAAGTGACCAATCGATCGACTAACCGACCAACCAACCTCCCAACTGACAGAGCAACCGACTGACCGACAGAGCAACTGACCGACCTACCAACAGACTGACTGGATGACTGACCGACTTGGTGACCGACCGACCAAACTGACCAACAGAGCAAACGACTGACTGATTGACCGTCTGACCAACCAATCAACCGACAGACTGACCAACTGACAGAGCAACCTATTGATCGACTGAATGACAGATCGACCAACCCACTGCCTGACCAACGGACTGCCCGACCAACTGACATAGTAACCAACTGATCGACCAACAGACCGATTGACTGACCAATAGCATCCATTTTGTGATTTTACCTGATTGAAATTTGCACTCACAGGATTATTACTGGGGTTGGACTAACGAAGCTGTCTGCAAATAAACTATGCTCGTGTCAGAGGCACTGAATGGTAAAATGGACAAAAGGAAGGCTTCCAAGCATCAGCCAGAACCAACAGCAAAGAGAGTCCGAAGAGACAATGAGACACAAACGCCACGGACACAAACTAACCCTGGTCCAAGCACAGCACCAGACACGCAGGCAGCTCCAACTCAACAACTACCGGCTGATGGAGCGAGGGATGACCAACAAACGACTCGGCAGGAACCGCAGGCAGGGCCTTCTCAGCAGGAACCAACGCCACAACCACCCCCACAACTACAGCCAGGACCAGGTGAGACACAAACTTTTCCTGTAAACCCTGCATTCTACTGCGTTCTACTTAGCTGTAGAGTATTAATACATATGCATTATTCCCTGGAGGGCGCCGGCCATACGCTAAGATTTATTACCCTTAGTACCTTGGGGCCCGCCCACCATACTTTCTCTTTTCTCTTAGCGGTGTTGTGTGAAAGACGTGTATTTACAGAGCTCTCGCTTTGTAAATTTTTCCTCAGCCAATTTTTATACTAAGTTCATAGTTTATTCTTCTATTATTGTTTCTACACAAGTTGAGTGAGTTTTTGTGACATCAGGTTGGTTTTTCGTGATATTTCTTGGTCATTATGGTCATTACGGTCCCTCACTCCGGTTACACGGTTCTTATGAGACCTTGTGCATGAGGCATTGCACAGGCTGCAAGTAGTGCATGCCGTACACACCGAGCGAGGCTTTGCACAGCCTGCAAGTAGCTTACTTCGTATGGAGCAAGTGTGGCCTTACCCAGGCTGCCGGCTACTCACTAGTATAAGCTCGTACCTCACAACCGTTTGACCGTGAGGCTTTTCAGGCTGAAAGTCACTCACGCCGTACCGAACGGACAAGGCTTTGCAGGGGGGAGCGTCACACGAATTGCACGCTGCTCACCCGACTCTATGCTTCTACTTACCGACCAGTCAGCGTGATACTCGCTTTTTAAATAATCCTTCACACTGCACCCAATATTTGGTGTTTTCGTTTTCAAAACAAATGGCGTTATTTAACCGGCGATACCCTGTTATTTAACTGGCAGTTTTTCATTGTCTCACGGCAGTGTTGCTGTACCGAGCGAGTGAGACTTTACATGGGACAAGTGTCGCACGAGTTGCAAGCCACTCCCCTCCCCCCTCTCCAGTCGTGTCGGCGTTCCTGTCAACTTGCCGTCTGAACCTTCAAATGAGGATCCCGACATTGCCTCTTCTCACTCGCCTTGGGAAGCCGATAAAGAAGAGGACACAACTATACCATCCTCCATTGCCACGCTTTATCGCCTGGTACAAGGAGACATGGTGTATGTATTGGGGTTTCCCTGAACCTGTAAAGCCCTCATCTTCTACACAACTGGAATCGTTCAAACGACTTACGGCTCCTGACTTACAAGTCACCCCCGATCACACCCCAGGTGGTTCCCTTCAATCAGGTTTGCTCTCAAGAGATTCGGTCTGTGTTTGACCAACCCGAAGTGCGTCGTCCCACTCGTTGCCCGAGTTTGTACTCCTTCCCAGCAGACGAGACGACCCAGTACCTTACCACGCCTACCATTGCTGACGACGTGCTCGCTAAACTGGCTTCCAACTCATCAGGTCATTGGGCCATCATTGGTCATTGGGCCTCGACTACATCCTTGTTTTGAGACACTGCTCAGAACCGTAATGAGAAGGCGCTTCAGAATATTGACTGCGCCTCTCGTCTGGGTGTCACCCATACAACGTTTTCGCTCCTGCTGTCCGACTTTTTATTTCAGGGATGTCAAGCTGATTCAACCATCCCAACAGACATGCTAGGCTCCAACTTTCGCTGTCTGGACCACTCACTTCTGGTAGTTCTCAGTGAAGTAATACTCGCATTTGTCGTCACAGCATAGAGACACGCTAGACAGCAATTCTTGATGCCATATTCCTGCCCATCGATGGAGCTCCTAACTGTCTCGAATCCCTTTCCTTCCAAGGACAAGAACTCTTTGCAGACCAGTTTCAGATTCGAATGCAGGCTGAAGCTGATTGTATCAAGGCTACGGAGAAGATTAATTTGGCGAAGGTTCATCCCAAACCACCTCCCCAGCCCCGTTGAGTATTACCTGCAGCCAGAGGCCGGGGCTCCCAGCAGTGCTCACTGGCTACTGGCTCTTCTTTTCAAGCCTCCCAGCCGTTCAGACCCAGTTGTCCTCCGCCACAGCCATCAAGCCGTAGTTTTTGTTCCACTGCTCGACGTCCTGCAAATACACGAACCACCTCCCGCCCTTCAGCCTCGACCACTGCCCCCGGCAGCAGTTCGGCTGATGGAAGTGTCTATGCTCACCAACGACGGGCTCCATCACAGGACCTGTGGGAGCCCGTTTGGCCCATTTTGTTGGGTCCTGGGACCAAATCACTTCCGACCAGTGGGTACTTGCCACCATCTCACTCAGCTACAGCCTAGAGTTCACGAGTGCCCCTTTGTCGGACACACATGCCCGCTCGCCGGACTCGACCGCCCGGCGATTCACTCAAACGCCAAGCGCTCGAGGACGAAATAGCAGCATTGCTAACAAAGAACACTATCAGGATTTTACAAACCCGAGAAGAAGATTCTCAGGGGTTCCATTCAACGTCCACCGTCAAGGTCTACAGGTGTTCATGTACCTAGACGACTGGGTCATCATCGGCAAATCGTAGGCAGCAGCTGCAGTCCATCAAAAAAACCCCAGGCCTTCCTTGCGGAAGGCCTGGGTTTTCTCATCAACGAGTCCAAATCCAAGATAATCCCATCTCAACGGCCCACATACCTAGGTGCTGTCCTCGATCTACAAAGGGGCACGGCTTACCTGACGCAAGAGCGAATCGACAATGTTTGTCAATGCATTTTTCAATGTCAATGTCCCACCCCGTAACCAAGGTGGTACCGTGTTCATTGCATATTCGGCCACATCTCTGGTGGTGAACCCAACCGGACAACCTCAATCAGGGCCTTTCCTTCCAGCCCCCAATACGAATACCATAACTTGACCTGAATTTTGACCTGAACGTTTCATGTTTTTTAAGCCCTCAAAATAGTCTTGACCCTACACCTGACCGTGTAAATTACCATTTATTTATGATGGAGAAAACAGGTTTAATGAAGAATTTCACTATTGAGACATGCGACCTCCGAAACACTGTTAACTGAATGAACTGAATTATTAAGCCCTTTGTTGGCCCTCTCCTAATTTATTAGTACCTCTTTTCACAGTGCAGTGGTATTTACTCTGTAAAGGCAAATGCATAAAAAAGTTCACATTATTTTATTTCAGAAAGAAAATTGGATGTTGAGCCTCCCCACGCTTCAGGTAAGTGACACAGCCTTTTTTCAGGACAGCTCGGGTCATGAAAAAAAAAATTCTGAAACTTGGTACATGCATCCTGAAAATATGAACATACCCAAGAAATTTATGACTAAAGGTCAAAGGGTTTTGGAATATTGGCTAATTAATTATATATATGCACCAATGGTATTTCTGCTTTGTGTACACTACGTATATGGGGAAGTTCAGGTTTCACAGTGCGTTGCGCTGGAAATGTTTTCGTTGAACAGCAACCCGTAGTCTGAATTTCATGTTTTAGGTATCGAGACACAGCAATCAATAACAATCAGAATGAGAATTTGTTTATTTTTTGTTTTCTGTCCAGCAACATTGACGAAAAAGTTGTTTTTTTTGTCTTTGATTTTTTTAAGCAGATTTGTAAAGAAATTCACTAGAGTGAAATTTAAACAGACAACCTCTGAATCACCGTTCCAGTGCTCTGTTAACTGACCTATTGAGCCATATTTTGCGTTCTTCTGATTTGTATGCCTCTTTTCACAGTGCAGTGTTATTTTTACTGTGAAGGCAAATGCAGGTACATTTCATATTATTTTCTTTTTAGAAACAAACTTGGATAAAGAGCATCCCGAACTTCCAGGTAAGGCCGAAAGAAAATACTTCTGCTTCCGATTACATGCCTTTCAAAAATAGGGTCGATCGGTCGGAAAAAAAAATGTTGCCAAATTTTTTTTATGCAGATTGAATGGGGTATTCAATTATATGCAAAGTTTTAGACTGAACTATTTCCATTGCACTAAGAAAGCTAAACACAAAATGGCCACAAAAAGTGAATAAAACCTACTTTAATTATTGTCAACATATTTACGTTTGATAATTCTTAAAAAATCATGAAAAATGCAGGTCGTTCGCACCATATGCACAACGCTAGTCAAGACGGGAAACTGGCCAAAACTCCGAAGTGTGCGATGCACTGTGCATGTGTGGCGCGTGGCCAACAGACCTCGTTTTTACGGTCGAAAATTTCGGGAAACACGCTGCATTGTATCACTCCAAATACGAGCAGTGCGATCTCAAAATGAACTCTTGAACAGGGAAAATACATACACAGATATAAAGCTAGATCAATTCTGTGAATTAAGTTGCAAAAATGTTCTTTCACCATCGGTGTTTTCTTGGCATTTTTACGATGTCGAATCCAACCAGTTGACAGTGCACATGCCTGCAATGCATAGCCATGCTAGCACTATCGATCACATAGCCGTGCACAGACCACAGACTGGTTACCGCATTTTCATCATGTCTTCTAAATTGGCCCCTGTGCGGCGCGGCGGGAACCAGTCGTCGTCACATTGAGCTAGGTTTACGCACGTGATTATAGTCGGAAAGATTTCCATATACGAAGTTCATTCAACACCCTGTGTACAAACCCTATGAGATTGGACTGAAAAATTCTAAGTGTTTTCTAAGAAAATGCTTGTATTTTCTCACTGCTCAAATTGACTTTGATGACATGAAATTGCTATCTGGGGGCTTGTTAGTCAATACAGAGGAAAATTAGTGAACTTCGTATATATCGAAATTTTTCCTTATAGTCATCGTGACATAGAATTGCGAAGCAGTTATATCGCGAAGCAAATTTGTAAAAATAACGGAGGTCTCTTTTGAAAAAAACCCCTGAATGTTAGTAAGAAAACAAATAAATACAAGCATTGTTGTGACGCGAAAGGGTTGTTGAGAGGTATTTTGTGAAGACAGAAAAGACAACAGGTTTTTATTTTTATTTATTCAATCTTTTTTTTTTGGGGGGGGGGAATTGCCGATAACATTTTTAGGGTCGCATCCTAAAAAATAGGGTCGGTCGGGTAACCGGAAGCAGAAGTATTATTTTTTTTGGCCTAAGTTAAAAAGCCTAATAAAGTACTTCTTAACTTTCCGTTTTGCCGGATAAAACGTTTTATGAGTGGACAAAGGCTGATTGGACACTAATAAGTATTACATTTTTCATAATGTCTACACAAGAAACAAACACTGCATGTGCACCAACTTATCACCGTGATTCAGCGTTCTTCTCTTCTGATCTGAGACAGAGAGAATCAATGGAATCAGAAAGAGAATTGCATAAGTGTCCAAAGTTGCCACATGTGCTGAACATAAGTGTAAGCTTTGTTTACAATAAACAGCTGTTGAACAAAGTAATAAACATCACAAAGTTTTTGTACAGAAACGTTGTTTACTGTATTAAATAGATTTGTGTCTGTTTGCAGGTATCAGTGACACCATTCTACGCAAGATCTCTGAAAGGCTTGGCTCTGAATGGCAGAGGCTGGCTACACATCTCGGTTTAAGCGCTGCAGAGATCGAGCACATCTTGATGGATGACCCAGGCCAGACGGAGAACCAGATCTTCAACATGCTGGCTGAATGGAGGCGCAAACAAAGGGACGTGTTATGTGCAGCTCTGATGAAGATCGGCAAAACAGACATAGTCGAAGACTTGAAAGGTAGGTCTCAAAATGAACCACATCAATTGTTATTTTCATGACATTAGTAGCCATGGTACAGATAATTGCATGACGAGGCAAAACACCGTTTTTTATGGCCATCGAAATAGCTGGGTGTGTTATTATAAAAGGAACCCATGGGCGGATCCAGGGGGGGCCAAAGGGGGCCATGGCCCCCCCCCCCCAAAAAAAAAAAAAACGAAACCAATATTTTTTTTTTGTATGTGACATCGCAATAAAGGGAGGCAATGAGTACACCACCATCTTTTCCTCCAAAAAACATTGGTTAAAGTGGTCAGAAATTGCCTCAGATTGCACCACAGAGCATCTAGAATCCAAAAAATATTCGGGGCCCTTAAGCGGGCCCCCGAACCCCACGCCATAATTTCTTGACCCATTTTTTGGGGGGAACAAACATTTTTTTGGCCCCCCCCAAAAAAAATTGTGTTACTACTACCTACTACAGTATACCTGAAATTAATAAAACACATTTGTTACCGTTTGTTCAAGGCTAACATCTCTATTACTTACCAAATTTTGATCCTAATAAGGACATTTGAAAGGGAACACCAAATAAATTTCAACTTAAAAAGAAATTGTGATGTACGTAAATTTCAATAGGCGTAAATGATTATCAGTATTGACATCAATTTTGAATAATTTTGACCTTAACAGTTCATATTTTTAGCCCTAAAACTTGTCATCACCCTACACGTGACCTTGTGCACACCTGTGCACTTATTAACCCTTTTCGTTCTAGTGACTGTCCCTATATTTATGTGTCTAAATTTTTTATAATTGGTCGCTATACTAATTACAAAGGCATTTCTAGAAAGGTTGAAATCTTTTTGCTTCCTCAGTGATCGAGTTAATGGTTGGAATAGCATGAGATTTCCATTACAGAAAATACCTCACCTCTGTTTACCTACATTTGCATATCAGCGCGCATGCGCACAAACGTTCGCTGAAAAGAATAGCGCCCAAGCCACACCCTCATTGTCCACTGCATGCCCCACGCCCACAAAGGACCCTGTAACGTAATAGCTCGTCCTAGTTTTTTCAGCGACGCGTAGTGTAAAGACGTACAATATTTAGCTGTTCTCGCTGTGATTACAATATGGCGGACTCCGCCAAAACCAAAAAGAAAACTGTCTCAAGCCGTTCTACCGGAAAGTCACCCTCTACTCAATCCAAGCGTGATAATTCCTCTGCTACGACTGGGTCCAACCTCCCGGGTTCGGCAGTTGGAATTTCTCCAGGGTCAAAGAATTCTCCAATGAGAATTACGGCCACTCCCCGACAAATCCCGCATTCTTACGGCAGTCTGCAGGAGCACATGCACGCTTCGGAACAACAAGTCGACTCGCATGTGCAGGCGGGACGGCGGGGCTTGGCGTTCGAAACCCAAAGGTCTCTCGGTAATCCGACCAGCCCCGCCAGGTCACAGAGGCTTGGGGCACCACCACCACCATCATCTTCAGTCAGCCATACTACGGGTTCGTATTTTCAACCTAGTTTTACAAGCGAATCTCGGCGAGATTTTCTTCATCATTCGGAGCCTCACAGTACGTGGTCCTTTTTCCCGAACGATCCTCGTCACTTCGACCACAATACTCGCACTCCGTATCCACTCAGTGTTTCAGCCTACGACCCACGGGTTTATCCCCAGACTTTTCCGATGGGATTTTCACACCATTACACGCCTTATCAGGGTAATTCTTCTCCGCGAGATCATGGTGTACCTTTCACAGGACACAGACTCCGTTCTACGCAACGCTTCGGTGAACACACCAGCCGGGCGGGGAGAGAACGCCGCGATTCATGGCGCCGTTCCCGGTCTCGTGCGCGGTCCCGCTCGGACTCCGACGATCGACATCGGCGATTACTCACGGTCGGATTCTGGTCATCGAAGCCGACACTCACATTCTAGATCTCCTTCAAGGTCTTCTTTTTCCTCGGGCCAGACAGTGGCGAAGATACTCTCTCAAATGTCCAACGGGCTATTACGATGACGGAAGTGGGTAAGATCCTTCAGTTTCCACCCCCTTCCCCAGGCGAATCTACTCGACCTTCATATCGCAGAGATTCTGGTACTTGTAAATCTAAGCCTTCGCAGCCCATTTTTCCTATTGATAGAATGTGTGCTGACTCTATGAATGAGTCCCTTAGTCAGGTGCAAAACAAGCAATCTCTCTCTTGGGGACCGAGCAGGTTTGCAGGCATGTTCAACACCAATAAAGTGGACACTGATAGATTTGTTTCTACCCCTTCCTTGTCTTCTGAGGCCAAAGACTTGCTGAGACGTGAAAATCTGCAATCTAATAAGCAAACTTTTGATGCTAAGACGAAAGCACTTGACAAAAGACTTGCCTACTTGGATAGCCATCTGCATCAAGGGGCCAAAGTGGCCTCTTTCTCCATCCTGTTATCGGATACCCTTGCTCGATGTTATGGAGATCCTTCCTTGTGTGAGCCTTATAAGATACCTGAACTGTTCCATTTCTTGGATGATTGTCTGAGTTTTTGCCTCAAGGAATTTAGTTTGGGTTTTGCTTCAACTTCGTTGCTGTGACGCTCCCTTGTTGTAGACAAGTTGTTTCTCCCTTCACTTGGGGCAAAGGATCGCATGCTAGACCTTCCCCTGGCTGGGCGTGATCTCTTTGACAACAGGTTCGACGAGACTATGTTACATGAAGCCAAACGCCTCAAAGCTGAAGACAAGTTCGATCTTCGTCGGCGTTCAGCCTAACGCCCCTCTACATTTGTCCCCAGTCAGCCCAGCAAGAAGAATCAACGCCCGTTTTCTACCGACAAGGGCTCCAACCAGTCCAAGTTTCAGGGGCATCAGGCTTCTTCGTCTTCCTCCCGCTACACCAGGAGACAGCCCCCCAGATATTCGCGTCCCTTCAAGTCCCTGGGGTCGCGAGGTAACAAGGGCCTCTGACTACAACACAGTTTTCATCCCTCCAGCTTCGGGTCCAGTAGGTGGTCGTCTTGGGGAGTTCAGTCAGATATGGTCTCACGTAACCTCGGACATTTGGGTTCTTCAAACCATCTCGACAGGGTACCGTCTGGAATTCACCAGCAACCCTCCTCTACAACCTCCAAGACGACCAACTCCTGTTCCCTCAGATCCTGCACGCCGGGCGGCGTTGGAGAAGGAAATCATCTCTCTGAAAGACAAGAACGCCATCATTCTGCTTCCAACGGGGTCCACTGTTGGCGTCACTTCAACCTTTTTCCTTGCGCCGAAGAAGTCGGGCGATTGGCGACCCATCATCAACCTACGACCTCTCAACAGTTACAGCAAACCCAAACACTTCCGCATGGAGACTCTTTCCACGGTCCTCCAGTCCCTGTAAAGTAATTGGAGGGCTACTTCCATCAATCTGAAGGATGCCTACCTTCATGTACCTATCCACGCAGATCATCAGAAGTTTCTCCAGTTTCTATACCAGGGTTCCGGGTACCAAATTCGTTGCCTACCGTTCGGCCTCTCCACAGCCCCTCGGGTCTTTACAAGAATAGCCAAAGCAGTAGCAGCTTTCTTGCGTCAAAAAACAGATCCACATATTCCTGTATCTGGACGATTGGCTCATAGTAGGTCCGACCTTCCAGGACACGGTAGATGCCCTCCGACAGACCGTTCAACTTACTCTCAATCTCGGCTTCATCATCAATGTCGAAAAGTCGTCTCTGATTCCAACTCAACAACCGACCTATCTTGGAGCAGTTCTAGACATGACAACAGGCAGAGCGATGCCATCGGGGGAAAGATGTCAGACACTCTGGGATTACATCGGAATTTTCAGGTCATCTCCAATCCTCCCAGCCAAAGCTTGGCTCCACCTTCTGGGCCTCATGGCAAGTCTTGTCGACTCGGTTCCCTGGTGCAGGACGCACATGCGTCCCTTACAGCTTCATCTCCTGTACCACTTTCGCCCTCACAAGGATCCTCTATCAAAGATGGTTCCAGTAACTCACTTAATTATCGACAAGCTACAGTGGTGGCTAGCTCCGGACAATCTCCTATGTGGAGTCGTGTTCCCTCGCCCCTCTCCAGCAGCTATCCTCACAACAGATGCTTCAACTCTGGGTTGGGGAGCTCACTTAGACTATCTATCACGGGCCGGCACATGGTCGATGGAAGAGAGTCTACTTCACATCAATCACCTAGAACTCCTGGCAGTGTACAAGGCTTTACGTTCCCTAGAGTCCGAAGTCCTCAACAAATTAGTCGTAGTCAAGTCAGACAATTCCACGGTAGTGTCTTACATCAACCGTCAGGGGGGAACTCACTCTCCGTCTCTCTGCCTAGCCACTTGGGAGCTACTCAGCTGGTGCATTCCTCATCAAATATCTCTTCAAGCAACCCATCTGGCCGGGAAGAAGAATATCCTCGCCGACGCCCTTTCCAGGGGTCGCATCTCTCCGACAGAATGGTCTCTCCACCCTCCTGTAGTCAAACACATCTTCAACGTACTCGGAACTCCACATGTGGACCTATTCGCATCTCACCTGAACAACCAGCTTCCAACCTTTTGCACCCGTCACACTCATCCTCTGGCGTGGAAGGTAGATGCCCTCAGCTTCGACTGGTCAGGAATGCATGCTTATGCCTTCCCCCTGATCTCTCTCATTCAACGGGTCCTGACAAAGATAGAGACAGAGCTATCCAGAGTAGTCCTCATAGCTCCCTTTTGGCCAAGACAGCCATGGTTTCCTCGCCTTCTGGATCTCCTGGTTCACTCGCCCCTCATACTTTCCAACCGGCCAGACCTCCTGTCACGACCCGCGTCTCACATTCTGCATCCGGATCCATCCACTCTCCATCTTTGTGCCTGGATGCTCTCAAAGTCTCCTTCCAATCAGCTGGACTTTCGGAGGAAGCTACGTCCTTGGCAACCAAGAGCAGACGGAGATCCACCAGAAGAACTTATGATAGTAGACTTCTCCACTTCACCAAATGGTGCGAGGAGAGAGCTGTCAATCCCCGTTCTGCATCTGTAACCTCGATTGGGGATTTCTTTCTTCACCTTTTTAATTCAGGCCTTCAAATTTCAACAATTAAGGGCTACAGGTCAGCTATTGGTGTCCTTCATCAGGGTTTCCATGATGGCACAACAACTTCATCCAATACATCAATTTCTCACATGATTCGCGGTATGTTTAATGATCGGCCTCCTACCAGGAAGCTGATACCATCATGGGATCTGGGCACCGTCCTGTTATCTCTCTCCAAACTTCCGTTTGAACCAGCAGGTAATTCGTCCCTTCATCATCTTACAGTTAAAACCACATTTTTACTGGCTGCAGCTACAGCTCACCGCAGAAGCGAACTCCATGCTCTGTCAGTGGAACCGGGCCATATTCGATGGGAACCTGGCGGTGTACGACTAATTCCAAGGGTAGGTTTTCTCACCAAGAATCAATCAATGGGTTTCTCACCACCCGACATATTTGTACCAAGTTTGACATCGTTCTCTTCAGTAGCAGAGGATAAATGGTGGTGCCCCGTGCGAGCGCTCAAGTACTACATTGCTCGCACCAAGCCCCTCAGAGGAGACATCAAGCAACTGTTTATTACGATCATCCAGCCTCATCACAAAGCCTCTGTAACCACGATCGCTCGATGGATTTCGGTGACCATACAATGCAATCCCGAACATCGAGGATCGAAATCAGGAGCCCACGAGACACGCAGCATGTCGACTTCATGGGCCCATCTGCTTGGAGTTCCTCTTTCAGAGATTATGAAAGCGGCCTGCTGGAAAAATCCTTTGACTTTCACATCATGCTACCTGAAGGATGTCGTGCAATCGGAGGGACACATGGGCAAGAAAGTCCTCCAAGAAACAGCACGATCAGCAGCCCGCTCAGCCCGCACAGCTCCTTCGAATTAGATAGGCAGCTCCCGGGTATGTCTAGACAACCTTTGCATGTTATTTAGAATTGCATGTAGGCCTAGTTTAGACTTTCAAGTACCACTGCATGTCCCTCCCCCCCCCCCCCCTTGAGACTTTCGGTGCCACTCTGCAAATGTAGGTAAACAGAGGTGAGGTATTTTCTGTAATGGAATTCCTAAAATCCAAAGGGATTTTCCATTCTAGTAAGAAAATACTCACCTTTGTTTACCATCCCTCCCTTTAAAAAAAAAGAAAAACTAGGACGAGCTATTACGTTACAGGGTCCTTTGTGGGCGTGGGGCATGCAGTGGACAATGAGGGTGTGGCTTGGGCGCTATTCTTTTCAGCGAACGTTTGTGCGCATGCGCGCTGATATGCAAATGTAGGTAAACAGAGGTGAGTATTTTCTTACTAGAATGGAAAATCCCTTTGGATTTTAGGAAATATCTGGGATTGTACTGGGTGACCCCTCCCCGCCCCAATAAAAATGCAACACTAAAACATTGGCCTTTAAAAAAAAGGGATCGATTGATTTTTTTTTGTGTATCAGATTAAAGCTGAGAGCTTTTTCTTTCAAATACTGGAAAAAAATCATGAAAATAGCACTTTGGGTTGCTGAGAAAATGCCAATTATGTAAAAGTAGTCGTTTTTCATCCTGTACACAAGTACTTCAAACAGTGAAACATTTGACTATAAGACTACTGTGCAATTATCTTTCATTTGTGCAATGTCTTTACTCTTTAACACTTGTATCACACGAATTCCCTATAAGTTTCAATTTGGTCCCCGAACATCGCCAAGCTCAATTCTCAATTTGAATTTCAAAAAGCCACCACTAGATTTCATTTAAGGTTCAGTATGATTCAAATTGTTAGCATTCTGATTCGTCCAAAATCTTTGAAATTCGTCTCGTGAAGCCATTGGCGTTGAATTGACAAAGTAAATTCGTTTTTTGTCATTGGTTTTCATGCTCTTGTCATTACATTTTGTCCCTGGTGACTTAAATCTTATACGATTAGAAAATGCCTATATTTTAACATATTTATGATGCTGAAAAGGTTTAAAATAGTACTAAAAAGGATGAGATACCTGTTCAGGTGGAAAATAATTAAAAGGTTTTTCCATCAAATTCATTTGCACTCTTGTCATATTATGTGCCGTTTTCATGTGTAAGGATTAGGACATGCACAAATAGCTACAGTGAAAATCCCTTACTGTGGTAATGTTTGTGTACAGGTTGCAAAATGACTATGTTTACATAATTAGCATTTTCTTAGCAACCCAAAGTGCTATTTTCATGATTTTTTCAGCATTTGAAAGAAAACGCTCTCTGCTTTAATTTGATACCCAAATTTTTTAAATCCATCGATCCTTTTTTTTTTTAGGCAAATTTTTTGGGGTTGCATTTTGTTGGTGTCACCCTGTATAATTCTCATGTTTAGTCAGATCTTAAAGATCGCCTGATCTTTCTTTTTAATCGGCAAGGGGTTAGCACTTAATTAGATTGAAAATGTAAACACACAGTCGGAAGAACCATTGCAAGGTATAGACCATTGCCAGCATGCTATCCCTATACACAGTTAGTCACACTCAATGGCGAAAGTGCTGTGATAGTTGTGTACACGACGTATGGGAAAATTTAGTTTTCACGGCGCAGAAAATTTTTTGTGTTAACCCGTGTTCCGATTTTTATATTTTTGAAATCAAAAGATGCGCAAGGCTCGAGGCTAAAAAGTCATAACAGCATTTTCAAGGCTATCGCGGAAAAAGTCGAGGGGGGGAGGATTCCGCCCCCCCCCCGGCCCTTTTAGGGTTAACTGAACAGTAAACTGGCCCAATGCTTTTACCTTTGAAGCCTAATCGGAACACACTAGAGATCTTCTGGTAATAATTGTTTTTACCTTATAAATTGATTCCTGTCTGTTACCAGATTTAAGTGACCCTGTTCTACGCATGATCTCTGAGAAGCTTGGCTACGTATGGCGTAAGCTGGCTACACATCTCAGTTTAAGCGCTGCAGAGATCGACTGCATTGTGATGGATGACCCAGGCCAGACAGAGAACCAGATCTTAAACATGCTGGTTGAATGGAGGTGCAAACAAAGGGAAGTGTTATGCACAGCTCTGATGGAGATCGGCAGAAGGGACATAGCTGAAGACCTGATAGGTAGGTATCAGAATGAACCACATCAATTGTTTTTGTCTTGACATTAGTAGTCTTGATGAATATGATGAGGCAAAACATTGCTTTTTATGGCCATCAAAATAGCTAGCAGGGTGACCATTTTAGCTGATTTTCAGCTAACTTTGACAGATTTTTTATTCAAAACGAGTTTCACAGAAAATTTGACAGAATGGATTTTTTTTGGGCAGATTTCTGGCAGAATTCTGCAAAAATGGAAATTTTAATTTTTTTTTTGTAAATTCGTTTAAAAAAGCTTCAAACTTTTATTATTATTATTATTATTTAATTGGCATTAAAAAACACACACAAGCAACAAACTTCCACACAAATAAATAAAAAACCAAGAAAACAAAAACGAAAGCCAGGGGCATATGCCTGGAATTAAAAAAGTTTACCTAAAAACTGTGGCCCGAAGGCCTTCAATTCCAATACCTCTTGCTACACAAAGAAATATATAAATATATAAAAATATATTAACAATAAAAACAAACCCTTGCTTATCAAATGGGACAGGGTGGCTGGTCTCCAGGTGCTGAGGTTCATTGGGAACAGGACTTATGTCGTGACGCAAAAGCAACCGCGTTTTACCTGAAATTTAAGCAATATCATAACATCTAAGTTATGTGACTATAGATTGTTATGTGACTATAGATATTAAAAGGAAAATACAACATTTGCAAACATCAAAAATAAAACTACCAAATCATTTTGAAATACCTTGCTGGACTGTTAGTGAATGACAGTGTAAAGCATCCTGTAAATCATGGCACCTGGTATACTGTCATTTTCAAGAAAAGTGGTATTTTTGTATCAATTTCCAACGCTGATCGGCCGATCAGCGTTGGAAACAACTGGCTTTTTTTCAAATACTGGCCCCAATTGACCATCGCACTTGTTTGCAATCGATTACAAACCTATGAATGGGTACGAGCCAGCTTGACTGGTTCCCTGACCTTACAATTCCCCAATGTATGTAAACTGCTCTGTTTCTTCTTATATGGAGTCAGGGAACCAGACTACAGGAAAATGATCGTGTTTCTTGGTTTTATAGCATTTTGAACCAAAAGCCTCAAAAAAGTCAGTGTGACTATATTTGCTATATATTTCCAACCCCCCAATTACAGCAAAATCAAATGATGTATATTCCCTTTAAAGGGAATATACATCATTTGTTTTTGCTGTAATTTTCAGAAATGGATGGAATTGGGGGGTTGGAAATATATAGCAAATAGTTACACTGACTTTTTTGACGTTCGAAAATGCTATAAAAACCAAGAAAAACGATAATTTTTTCTGTAGTCTGGTTCCCTGACTCCATATAAGAAGAAACAGAGCAGTTTACGTACATTGGGGAATTGTAAGGTCAGGGAACCAGTCTTGCTGGCTTGTACCCGTTCATAGGTGTGTAATCGATTGCAAACAAGTGCGATGGTCAATTGGGGCCAGTATTTGAAAAAAACCAGTTTTTTTCCAACGCTGGTCGGCCGACCAGCGTTGGAAATTGATACAAAAATACCCCTTTTCTTGAAAATGACAGTATACCAGGTGCCATGATTTTACAGGATGCTTTACACCGTCATTCACTAACAGTCCAGCAAGGTATTTCAAAATGATTTGGTAGTTTTATTTTTTGATGTTTGCAAATGTTGTATTTTCCCTTTAAGGCAATACTACAACATCTGCATGTGATTTTAAGTGTTTATAGTGTATTTCGAGTACTTCCAAGGAATTTGGCAGATTTTTGATGAATCTGACAGATTTTTGAATTGCATTGATCAGAATTTGGCCATGACCTTACGGTCACCCTGTTAGCTAGATGTGCTTATTTTATCCCATGGAGAAACTGTATTACTTTAAAGGCGCCATGACATGAATTTTACTTCGGAACACATTTTGTGCACTGAGCTATTCCTCTTAAATGTATGAAAACTATTTGACATCCTTTTGGTTACATTTGGTGAAAAGTGCACTTCTTAAACATTGATTTATAATGTTCCCTGCTTTTCAAGACAACTGATGGCGCTGTTGCTGTGATGTCATTTAGTACTAATCTTGTCATTTCAGGAAGACACTGTTCAATTTACAGGTTTTCTCTTCAAATTGTGAACGCAATATTTGGTCATTGAAAATATTTGTATGAAAACTTTGTTCATTGGCCTCCTGTCATGTACTGAAACATCAACGAATCACCAAAGGAAACAAAATTGACAACATCAAAATTTAAAAAATTCTGGCAAATCTGGGTGCTGAAATAGCTGTAACATTGAATTTTCTGCCTGAAAAGACATCACTTTTTTGCTCATGACTATGCAAGTTTTAATCGGATGAAAACCAAAACTGCACTAAAATGCCCTTCAATATGGCAAAATGAAAGTGGAAGGTATAAGTTTGAATGGGACTCAAAGGTGCCTTTACAAGGATTGCATTGAAATAATTACATTACCTATAGACCTGGTATGAAAAGGGCTTCCCGGTACTTCCGCCGGTCTGTAGCTCATCCGGTCTTCAGCCCAGTCGCATCCGGTACATAGGACTGTCCGACCTGAAGCTTTAAAGTCAGTAGGGCGTGTCAATTTATTGCCCCTTGCAGAACACAAGACGACTTACAGACTTGTGGCCAGAGATTACCTAACTGTTCATGTGCAGGTACTGGGGCTCTATTGTTTCGCTCTGGAGATTAATGCTTCCAATTTACACTTTTACAGTGTGCCCAACCACATGGCACAGCTTTTGATCTGTGAAGGGGCTCTTTTGTTTCATATGAAAACCACAAGTGGGCTTTTTCTGGGATAGATTACATGCACATGTGTCAACACTTGCAAACAAAAGACCCCAGGATGGGAGAGTTCATGATCAGCCACCAGATCAGCCTCCTACGCTGGTACAATGTAGCTGGTCTGGTAAGAGAGGGCTTTTTGCTATCGGGCGAGCTTACCAAGGCCCTTTTCAAACCAGCTCTGAATGGTCACGGTCACCGGCCCTTAATAAAACACTTTTGTTAACATGAAATTACTGTCTGCTTAATTTGTTCTTTGTTATTAACCAACTTTTGGTCCTAGAACATTTGAAGGGAAAACACATAATCGTCAGATAAATAAAAATAACAAAAAAATAGGATATGTATATTTCAATATATGAATATCCATATTGACATCAGTTTTGAATAATTTTGACTCAAACGTTTCATAGGCTTGACCCTACACCTGACCTTGTGCACACCTATTGACGAGCATAATATGTGTCTAAATCTTTTATAATTAGTCACCATATTACAAAGACATTTCTAGAAAGGTTGAAATCTTTTTGCTTCCTCAGTGATAGATTTAATGGTTGAGAAAGCATGAGATATATCTGGGATTGTATAATCTCATGTTTAACCCGATCTTAACAATCTTAAAATACAAGAAACATGCAATTTTTCACAGAAACACTATTTACCATATTTAATTCATGTCTGTTTGCCATTTGCAGGTATCAGTGATCTTGATCTACGCATGATCTCTGCCAAGTTTGGCTCTGAATGGTGGAAGCTGGCTACATATCTCAGTTTACGCCCCACAATGATCGAGCGCATCGTGATGGATGACCCAGGCCAGACGGAGAGCCAGATCTACCAAATGCTGGTCAAATGGAGGCGCCAACAATCCACAAGCACGGATCAGAGGGACGTGTTATGCACAGCTCTGATGGAGATCGGCAGAAGGGACATAGCTGAAGACCTGATAGGTAGGTATCAGAATGAACCACATCAAGCTTTATTTTCATGACATTAGTAGCCTTGGTACATATGATTGAATGATGAGGCAGAACACCCTTTTTTCTGGCCGTTAAAAAAGCTAGGTGTGTTGAATTTACTTTATCTACGGAATACCAAAAATCACATGAAATATTTTGTTATTAAACCTCAACCAGAGGCTGAAGTGGGAGGAGCTAGAGAACAGAGCAGGCAGAGAAGAACTACATCATCTGAAAGACGGGGACAGGGAGATGTTGGTCATCGAGACAAGTCTCACCAAGAAGTTCAAGAAAGAGGGGCTAAAGAACAAAGCAAGCTGCTCTGTACCTCATCATCTGAGGGACAGAGACAAAATCAGCAAGAGGCAGGAGGAACACATCAGGACATTCAGAAAGAGACGATGCAATCATCCGAGGATCATGGACTGATAGGGTCAACACACCAAAAACCAGGTCATGGACCTGTAGTTTCTATCAAGGGCGAAAATTGTCCTGTCATCGTGGGAGATGCTAATCATTCGACTTTTAACTTTAACATTACAGTAGAAAGTTCACGTAAGACATGTTTCAAATATCAATGTGTCATTTCTCTCTCACTCGCTTCCTTCCTAGTCTTTTGTTCTTTCTCGCTTCAATCATACATTCAACCGAAAAGCCAGATACTCAGTAGCCAGCCAATCACTCAATAGCGAGATATGCGTAAAAACGTGTATCACCCTAATGTAATAAAACGATCAGATGTCCAGATTGTCAAACAATGACAGTGAAAAGAGTAAAATATATGGAACTATAAGTACTAGCGATAGATGAAATTGAAAAAAAATATGCGTCAGATAAATATGTATAAAAAACAAATTCTTGTTTATGTAAACGCACTTCAACCGGCTTCTTGATTTGACTTTGAGGCCTGTTGGTGTTTCTGGCTCGGGTCAACTGAACCTTCAGTGTATAGATTACAAGCTCCACTTAAACTGAGGCTGATGAAAAATCAGAATGCAGTTTAGACACCTCAAAATGAACATGCAATTCATTGCCAAGTGGGCCGACATCATATATTGAAGTTGGCCCAGTCAGAAAGAATCGTGAATTAATTTTGAGTTTTCATAAACTGCACTCTGATTTCTTATCTTTTTTCCCTCTACACCCAAAAACAATGTCAGCAATTAAAATGGCAAAATTGGCGCGGCCTCAGCCATAATCTATACAAATTCGGTTTAATCCGTGCATAATGAAAAAGAGAAACAGATTTGTAGCGGTCCCCTGGTATACAACTACTAACACTTTAGAGAGTATTTAAAAACGAGCATACATATATATAGAAGTCCAAGTGTCTTTCCTACAGGATGTAGTTTCTAGGAAGCACAACTCCCTCCACCTTTACATAAAGAGTCCATGGCCTTTGTTATATCAAACTACTTTTGATAATGAAGACATGTCACCTGATATCTGCCCCCAGGGTTTCCAAAAGTGTCAATAGCAACAGATGTAACAAGGCAGGGTGGCGAGGACCGTGGCATGAATGATGTTCTCCGGATAGCCCTGACTACCTTACATAGAACGGAGGGAAAGGAATACGTCCTTGAGCAAATCTCAGCTATCCTGAAATCATGTGACGGAGAGCTTGAGGAAGTAATATCTGGGTCTGTGACATTTGTTGTTCGCTTCAAGAGTCGGGAGGGTCTGAACAAACTCTGGAGTATGTACACCACTGGCGAACTCGCCAAGAAACTGACAAAGATTCTCATAACGGATGAACTGACTACAGAAGATAAGAGTGACTTGGCTATCAAGGCGACTATACCAGAAAGCGACTACGATCGGGCCTGCAAATTCTTTGACGAATTGGAAAAGGACCTGCAGAAAGGTAGCCAAATGCTGTAAAATTAAAACTACAATCTGACTCCTTTTCTAAATTATGTTTAAAAATAACTCTTTCATTGTCTGAATTGCTTTTTTTAACAGATGAAGAGGACTCAAGCAGCGTGGAAGAGGTACAGCATACACAACTTGGAGAAAGCAGCACAGCAACAACGGCTTACAGTAGCGATCCAACCGAGTACGATGAAGACAGATGTGAAGAGAAAGTGAAGACATCGTTTATAACAACAGGTATAGATAATCACAAATGGGTGAATGGTTAGATAGTCCCAAAATATAACGTTAAGGCTGGCCATGAGACAGAGGAAAGGGTATTATATGAATGTATATTTCTTGAAAACAAGGGAGGGCGACCCCATGAAATTGTTGAGCAACAATCCGTTCTGTTTGGAAAACTTTGTATATGTTTGGGCAATTAGCTCCAATCCCACGCTCAAAAAAGTTGTTACTGTACTTTGATCTGAGGCACAATCAGTAGGATCAGAAGGAACCTTTATTAGGTTTTTTTTCACAGAAGATTCCTTTGCCATTTTAATTGATACATGTCTGTTTGCAGGTATCAGTGACCCCGTTCTACACAAGATCTCTGAGAGGCTTTGTTCTGAATGGCGGAAGCTGGCTACACATCTCGGTTTCAGCGTTGCAGAGATCGAGCGCATCGTGATGGATGACCCAGGCCAGACAGAGAACCAGATCTTCAACATGCTGGCAGAGTGGAGGGGCCAACAATCCACTAGCACAGATCAGAGGGACGTGTTATGCACAGCTCTGATGAAGATCAACAGAAGGGACATAGCTGAAGACCTGTTTGGTAGGTATCAGAATGAACCACATCAATCGTTATTTTCCTATTAGTAGCCTTGGAACATAGGATTGAATGACAAAAGCAAAACACCGTTTTTATCCCCCTGGCTATAAGCCAGAGGAGGATAGTGCACTAGTGACGATCGATTCCTTCTGTGTGCATGTTTGGTAAGGTTACCCTATATGACTGAGGACTTGGACAATGGGGGATTTGCGATACCAAGGACTTGGGCCAAGTCCTCAGGAGGTTTGTGTGTACAAACCTTATGGGAAGTGTTGAAAGTTTAAAGTTGAAGTGTAAACAACAGTGTTGTAGTCAAGACCAGGCAGTCCGAGACCAAGACCAAGACCGAGACCGACGGTCCGAAACCAAGACCAAGACCAGGCCGAAAAAAGCAGTCTGAGACGAAGACCAAGACCGAGACCGACAGTCCGAGACCAAGACCAAAACCAAGACCAGATTTATAAATAAACACATGTGAATCATCTTTGTATAAGTTAAGTTATTAGGGGCCTATGCACAAACAAAACAAAACAGACAAATATAAAATAAAGAATTGAATAAATCAAAAAAGGAATATGAAATTTAATGAAGGGTCACATTACTGAACTAACCGCAACTTTAATAATAATAGCAGGCCTACTTCCAGTGTTAAACCGAGTTAAATTAAATTGGGCTGAAATGCGCATAAAAACGAATGCATATTGATAATCAATCATGAAACACAGATTTGTGTTGTTTGAACAGTTTTGGACATTAACTTAGCCTCATTAGACTTTTAAAGAATTGAAACAAACATGTCCTAGACATTACTCAACAACAACAACCATGCAAGGAAGAAAACCTTGCTAGGCCTACATCGGGTGATGACGCTGCACATGTTTGATGAAGGCAGAGGATGTTGCCTTATTGCTGATGCTGGTTCTTTTCGGGCTAAAACACAAACTGCGACATTTTTTTTTGCCTCCAGTTTTGGCATCAACATACTTTTGTGGTCCTTGTACGCATACAGTATGATTGCCGAATTGGCAGACATGACTCAAATTAACTCCAACTGTGCGTACAAAAGAGCAAACTTTCTCGCAACCGAATCACACATGCTTCCCACATAGCATACAAGTACAACGTATGTACACTATCTAACAATAATGCCTTCAACACGGCATACTGCATGCGTCTAGTTACTGGACCACGCAATATGTGACTGCAGAGTACGGGTACCGGTTGCCTTGCAAACCACGCATTCAATACATGTCTTTTTACTGACGGTAACCAGTGGCATTAATAATTATATGGCTACGGCTAGTCACCATTGTGCGTATAATAGATCATGCGCAAACGAACGAGGTATCTGCCAAAGCTAGCCGTAGCCAAGTCAAATCTAGTAGTCAGGTTATGTACGTCAGTGCAGCCGGTATGACGGTCGCCAGAACGATGGAACATAATGGCGGTATTATTCTGGTGGGATTTGGATTTCGTTAGGAAACAACTGCAAGTGCATTTTGATATTGGTCTCGTGCTGGTCTGGGCCCAAAATTCCAAGAACAGTAGGTGCAAGACCAAGACCAAGACCAAGACCAGCGGTTTTTTTTCCGAAACCATGCGTGGTCGAGAACGAGCACACGTTCAAACTGGTCTCGAGACCAAGACCAGTCTCGACGGCTACAACACTGATAAACAAAGGAAACAAAACAATGGAACAATATCACATTGCGAGTAACCTCCACTAGAAACTTCTGAGAGAAAACAGTCAATCTAACTGTAAACTTGCTAGCCCTTTCAATTCTATCTTAATCCGTTGTCCAAACAGTTGCTTTGTAATCCTTAACGTACACTTAGTGTAATCAAGCCACATGTGCTGTCACACAACAGATATTGACAAGTGCAGGGGATTAGCAGAAGTATCTGATAACAGGGGCTAGTTTGTTGACAAAGGGATTAACAAGATAATAGTGTACCAAGTATTGTATTCTCTCCGAGTTTACATGTAGGCCCGAGTTAACATGTAGGGGGGGGGGGGCGGCAAATATTTTAAAATGTATACTATCAGTGACGGTGATCCGCCGGGCCATGCATTTTGAGTTCAAGGAAGAACAATCGTTCAAAAGGTGTGGCAATATTCATGCGCCTCCTAAGATTTTATGCGTGGGTTATGATGGCCGCAGGATAAGCGGATAAAACCAAGTTAAAACAGACTGTAGTGGACAGTGTTGAAGTCCAGGCCACAACCTCCGAGGCCGAGGCCAAGGCCGAGGCCACAACCTCCGAGGCCAAGGCCGAGGCCGAGGCAACAACCGCGAGGCCAAGGCCAAGGCCGAGGCCACCACCTCCGAGGCCAAGGCCGAGGCCGAGGCCAGCTATCAAAACACGTAATAAAATATAAATCACTAAAACAAGGCTAAGATTATGTTGGAGTTTTAACATCTTTTCAGTTGAATTCACTGAGTTTTGGAGTGCCTGGCTTAAAAAAATTACAGCTTGCAATGGGTTTCCTGTTGTAGGGAGTCCGGCGAATTTAATTGTTTAAAGAAAGAAATCTCAAGTTTTGTATCACTGAAAGCAAATTACATAACAAATCAATGGCGTTTGAATCAGTCTCATAGGTGTTTGCCCTTTGGAGATACAACAATTTAAATGGCCAACTTTTGAGTTTCTATTCTGTAAGATTTAAATCGTTTACTTTTAGCATGTCTTATAAATATTATTTTAAAAACCTATCAAAATGCTTAATATCATAGGAATCCCTATTAAATAAACAACAACTTGATTTTTGAGTCAGGTTCTACCACTCATAACCAAAAAGTTACGACCCCCCCCCCCCCCGACTTTCGCACTGTCCAGGCGCGCGCCCGAGCAAACACCGCGATGCGACCAGACAATGCCAGATGGCCCGCCGTTACGCAAGGGCAAAGCATAGTTCCAATCTCGCTCGTACAACGGAATGTCCACGCATTATCACCGTTAATACCGCGGTACCAGACAAAGTCTGGCAATGGCCAATCCCGCTCCAAGTAACACGGAACGTGCGTGCATGATATCACTCACTCAGTTCATCAAAATGACCATGAATTCTCGGATCATCCGATTTGAATCCAATGGCTTCGAAGTATTTTTAGATCATGGCAAGAGAGGTTTTGGCCGTATATCTGTAACCACGCAAAATTAGTCAATTTCAAACCGTGCTTATACATGTAATAAGTATCAACATGGCTCTAAAAATACAAAAAAGTATCCTGGTACCACGAGGAATACTGACTCCTATTATTAAAACATTCATTCAGAACTTTGCATTCATTTGGATGGAAAAACGAATTCTGAAATCGCGCTTTCCATATTGACCATTTGCGCCAAACATTACCGTGTGAGCCGGTACTTTCATTGAAATTGCCGTGTAAAAATAAAATCTACTTGATAAATCGTAATTGTTTTTATCATATCTTTATGGGGGAAAATGGTACGGACTTCTACACACGATCGTACCCAGAAAGTTCAGACTTTTACTGAAACAGTGGCCTATAAAAGAAATGATTAAGCTTGCCGCACCTTGCCGCAAGGTCGGGGTACAGAGGCGTTTTTACCCGAAACCGGTCATACTAAACAGCGTCAACACAGCGTCAACACACTCCAAAGCGTCAACACAGCGTCAACACATCCAAAATGCATTAAAATTGACAAAAGCAGTATGTAACCCATACAGTATGGACAGAAACAAGATTTGTGCTTAAAATCAATAGGTTAAACGTCTGAAAATCACGAATTTTAGTTCAAGAAAATTGGCTCTCCGTGCCGCTCCGAAATCGGCTGCCGAACACCCGCCATGTTGCCTCAGTGGCAGCGCGGACCATACCATTATTCTAAAGGGTGATAGCGTTGTACAATAAACCAACAGAGAGGGACGCGGCCGGGGTCGCCAGTGTTAAAAATATCTGCAAAGACTAACAATTTAATGCTGTGTTTACGCTGCAGTTGCCTTTGTTGTTTAATTTTCTTTACTTGTTCTGGTATCCCTCTGTCTAGTCTGCAGCAAGGCGTCCTCTGTTGTTTATGACAAGATAATGTCATTACCTACACACCCCTACTTGAAATGGTGTAGTCCAGGCTTTGTGCGAAGTCAAGATGGCGGACAACGGCCGTGTGGCCGTGCAAGTTAAGGTCATTTTTTTCGCGTGAAAATACGATATTTTTAACAACGAAATGGAAACTCAATCCAATGGAAATTCTCTTTTATTGTGTGTTTCACAATTATATGCCCTTTTTGTTAATTCAGAATGTGTTTTGGATGTGTTGACGGTGTGTTGACGCTTCTGTCATGTGTTGACGCTGTGTTGACGCTGTTTAGTGCGACCCGGCGAAACGAGAACATTTTGTACAACACTGCGACCAGACTAGTCTACTACCACATGTCATTGTACGCAAATGGGAAGGGTGCCAGACTTATGTAATCTGGCAGCGGTAACAGTTATAATGCTTGCACGCACTTGGAAAGCCGAAGCGCAGGCTAGGCGAAGATGCTACGTACGTGAGTACGTTCAATGCAACCATTTCCAGTTCATTCGTGCGTATACATTGTATGCGTTCGTTTCACGGAACCCACTGCGGCAGAATCTCGACAGTTTGATACGGTAAACAAATAAAATTAATTAGAATAGAAAACACATCAAAATGGGCGGCCTCGAGCCGGCCTCGACCGATTCGCCGAGGCCGGAAGGCTCCGAGGCCGAGGCCAAGGCCGAGGCATTGCACCTCCGAGGCCAATGCCGAGGCCGAGGCCATGGAAATCGGCCTCGAGGCCGGCCTCGAGGCCGAGGCCGGCCTCGAGACCTCCAACACTGGTAGTGGAGTCTCATTTCGTGCATTTTTTTAGCGCGTCATACGTCCATGAAACTGCACACAGACAACTGTTGCGTACAATGCGTATGAAGGTCAAATCGTTTCACGCTCCGGGCTCGATCAGCCTACAAAATCAAACAATGGCCACTTCACATTCTGTTAAAATATTTTTTTTCTGATACGTTTAATGCCAGTATGTCACACTCCCCAAATATGCAGCCGCTGTAATGAAATATTTAAATTCATGTCAGTTATGTGACAAAGCGCTGTGCTTCGCTCGTACCCACCACCCTGCAAACAGGGCGTTGCATGGGATACGCTGAGGAGCTTCACAGAATCTTGGGAAGGAATTGCCTATGACCTATGTATAAAGCATCTGGCTCACTGGCTGCAGCTGTTTAAGACCACAGTGAGCCAATGTGCGAAAATGCTATCTGCAAACTTTCCCTTGTGCATGTGCATATTCCATACCGGATGTGATTTCTGTTTCATTGCGGACCATGTGGACAAATTTTGAGTGTCGCATTATATGCAATCTGACCCTTCTTGAATTCGAAACCGAGCCTGAGCAAGTGACGAGAATTGAACATTTACAAAACAAAATTTTCTACATTATTACGTTTTTCAACGAAATGTAGCGTTTATGAATTGGAATAAAAAAGTAATTTTACAAAAAAGTCAATTTTGAAATTGTCACCCTCACTGAACTACGTTGAGCTTTATCTTAAAATCATAATTGCCGACAAACGACTCATTTTATAGTGTGTGTCACACCAGGAAATAATTTTTAAAGATTAAGTGATTCCCGTGTGTCTACCCTAAACCACTAGTATAGGACACTGAAAGAAAATTTAAAAAAGAAGTCTTTCTTATATTAACAAATTAATCAGCTTAATTTATTTACAGAATTATTTATAATAATTACGGAATTATATACAAACTACAGAAATAG